TTAATTGTCCCAGGACCAGATACCAGGCAACTAGGGACAGCTCCTATGCCCCAAGGCCTGCTGAAATTATTCAAACTAGTCAACTCTAAACTGCCTTGCCTTTCCTGCAGAAACCCCAATAAAAGTTCTAGCCTAGGTTTCCCTCTTGCTTGTGTTTTCTGTCTCCTTACCACCAGAGGCTTTCCCATGTAGTTTTGTGTGGCATTCTTTGCCACCTGTTTTTCTCCTGTGACTCCTCTCATGGTCATATCTGACTAACCATCACATAAAATAACACAGAATAGGTAATTTATTTTGTGTCTTCTTTCCTTTTCCTAGGTTAGCATGACTAGAGGTTTATTGATTTTATTAATCTTTCCAAAGAACCAGATTTTTAGTTTCTGTGATTTTCTCTATTGTTTTCCTGTTTTCAATTCCAATGACTGCTGTTCTTTTACTTCTTTTTTTTCCCTTTTCTTTTGTTTTTTTTTTTTTCTCTCTTTAAGCTTAAGTTGCTCTTCTTTCTTTCATTGCCTAAGTTGGAACCTAAGACTGTCAATTTTAAGTTTTTCATCTTTTCTAATATATGCATTTAATGCTAAGTACTCTAAGTACTGGTTTGCTGCTTCCAGTAAGTTTTGATAAGTTGTATTTTCATTTTCATTTAGTTCAAAATGTTTTTAAAATTTCTCTTGCTACTTGTTCTTTGGCTCATATATAATTTAGAAGTCTGTGTTTTATCTCTAAGTATTTTGAGATTTTCCAGCTATTTTTATGTTACTGACTTCTAGTTTAATTCTATCATGGACTGAGAATATAGTTCATATGATCCTGTTATAGGTTGAATTTTGTCCCCTCAAAAGATATGTTCAAGTCCTAAGCCATGCTCCCCAACCTGTGGATTGAGCTTATTTGGAAATAGGGTCTTTGTAGAGGTAATCAAGTTAAGATGAGGTCATTTAAGGTGGGTCTGTAGTAAGTGGCTGACCTTAAGCTTTTGATTGCCAAGGCATCCCTTTCAAAGACATCCATCTCGAATAAACATGTTGCCAGCTGGATGACACAGCTACTAACTAAATAACTAGATAAGGAGCGAGGCCTCCCCTATCCATGGACTTCTCCTTTTATAAAGGAAACCTAGATAACTGACTGCTTGAGTGTCCACACCCCTTTCCCCTTTCCATGCCCCAATTCTCACTCTTACGTTTGAAAATTCACCAATAGAAGTGAATCAAGGAAACCTTAGGCAACCCGTCTTCAACCCTGATAAAGGCAGAATCCCAGGTCTGTACTCCCTTTCTACCTGCAGCCTCCCTTGTATGGCCTTTAGGCATGCTGTATACCCTCCAGGATTTGTGAGTAATAAACCTCATTTTTTTCCCTCATGGTTGTTGCTGGGGTGTATCTTACATTCATAATAAGAACCATAAAGGTCAGTCCAGCCACAACCCTGGCTCTGGTTGGGGAAATATCCGTGGGGGCTTGCCACAAGTGGTATGGGTCCAGGTGAGTCCCCCAGACATTCCTGACTGATAGCATCACTACTGGTAGACTGAGATTGACACTAAAACAGTGTGTTTGGCCAATACACTGGCAGTCTTTATGAGAAGAAATGCCATGTGAAGACAGAGACGCTTGGGGAGAATACAGTATGATTACAGAGGCAGAGATTCAAGTGATGCACCTGCAAGTCAAGGAATGCCAAAGAGTGACAGCCACCACCAGAAACTAGGAAGAGGCAAGGAAAGATTCTCCCCTATATGTTTCAAAAGGAGCATGGCCCTGCCAACACTTTTTTATACCTCTGTCCTCTAGAACTGTGAGACAATAAATTTCTGCTGTGTTTTTTTAATTTTTAAAATGAATTTATTTAAAATTTTTTTATGTTTATTCATTTCCTGAAAGAGAGAGAGAGAGAGTATGAGCAGGGCGGGGGCTGGGGGGTGGGCAGAGAGAAAGGGAGACACAGAATCCGAAGCAGGTTCCAGGCTCTGAGCTGTCAGCACAGAGCCTGACATGGGGCTCAAACTCATGAACTGTGAGATCATGGCCCACGCTGAAATCGGATGCTCAACCACCTGAGTCAACCAGGTGTCCCTCTTCTGTGTTAAGCCACCTAGTTTGTGATACTTTGTTACAGCAGCTCTAGGAAACTAATATAAATTATATTCTTTTAAATTTTTTTATTTTGCATTTTTTGGTACAGGATGTGGTCTATTTGGGTGAATGTTTAATGTGACATTGAGAAGAATGTGTATTCTGCTCTTGTTGGAGGGAGTATTCTCCAGATGTCAATTAGATCAAGATGATTAATAGCAATTATATCCTTAATGTTTTTCTGCCTGTTTAAACTATCAATTACTGAAAGAGGGGTGTCAAAATCTCCAAATATATTAGTGGACTTATCCGTATCTCTACAGTCCCTTTAGTTTTTGCCTCATGCATTTTAACACTAAAATGTTTGTCGCATACACATTAAGGATTGCTGCCTCTCCATGGAGTGTTAACCTCTTTAGCATTATGTAATGCTTTTCCTTGTTGCTGATAATTTTCCTTGTTCTGAAGTCAGCTTTGCTTGAAATTAATACAGCCACTTCAACTCTATTTTGATTGGCATTAGTGTGGTGTACTTTTCTCCATCCCTTGATCTTTTCATTTTAATAAGTTATTTTTTTAATGTTTTAACAACTTAATTGATGTATTTCACATACCTATGATTCACCCATGTAAATTGTACTATTCATTGGCTTTTAGTGTAGTCAGAAGGTTGTGCAACCATCATCACAATCAATTTTAGTATATTTACAATACCCCCACAAAAACCTTTGCAACTTAGCCAATCCTCCATCATCTGTAAAACTGGGCAACCACTAATCTAGTTTCTGTCAATATATATTTTCCTATTTTGGACATTTCACATAATATGTGGTCATATTGGAATGGAGTCAGTTAATACGTGGCCTTTTATGAATTGCTTCTTTCACACTTCATGTTTTCAAGGCTGATCCATATACTACAGTATGTGTCAGTACTTCATTCTTCTTGGGTGCAGAATAATATTCTATTTTATTATTATACCATTTTTATTTTCTCATTAATCAGTATATGATCATTTAGGTTATGTTCACTTTTTGGCTATTCTGAATAATGCTGTTATATAAATATTTGTGTACAACTTTATGTGAGGGCATATGTTTTCATTTTTCTTGGGCATATACCTAAGAGTTGGTTCCTAGATCATCTGGTAACTCTATGTATAACTGCCAGACTGTTTTCTGAAGTGGCTGCACAATTTTATATTCCCACCAATACTGTATGAGGGTTTGAATTTCTCCACATTTTCCCCAACACTTGTTATTGTTCGTCTTTCACTTTATTTATGGTATACTTTGAAACAAAATGTTTTTTTTTTAATGTTTATTTTTGAGAGAGAGAAAGAGACAGAGCATGAGTGGGGAAGGGGCAGAGAGAGAGGGAGACATAGAAGCTGAAGCAGTCTCCAGGCTCTGAGCTGTCAGCACAGATCCCAATGTGAGGCACAAACTCACAAAGTGTGAGATCGTGACCTGAGCTGAAGTGGACACCTAACCAACTAAGCCACCTAGATGCCCCAAAACAAAATGTTTTTGATTTTCATGATGTTCAGTTTATTGATTATTCTCTTGTGGTTTGTTTTTGGTGTTATATTTAAGAGATGATTACTTGATTCAAGGTGATGAAGATTTTCACTTACAGTTTCTTTGAAGAGCTTTATAATTTTATCTCTTAAGGTTAGGTGTTTGATCCAGTTTGAGTTAATTGTTATACCTGGTGTGAGATAAGGGTCCTATTTAACTCTTCTGCATCCCAGTACCATTTGTTGAAAAGACTATTCTTTCCCCCATTGAATGGTCTTGGCATCCTTGCCAAATGTTGACACTTGTAAGAATTAATAAAAGGAAACCTTATTTAGAATGGAGTCAGGAGACCAGGAGGGGGAAGCTCTTAAACTCTACCACCTAACAATTGCAAATCTAACAGGAAGAGATAGACCTTGCACATGGATACACTTCCTTAGGAGGAAGGGTGTTTCCCATAGCCTGACAACAGCACAGCCAATAACAGACTGTCACAGCTCAGCCAATGAATAGCAATTATACTTCAAACTCCCAGTTTTTATTCCAATAGGCTTTTTGTTTATAACAGCTTTCCCAGCATCCCCCTTTCCTGTATAAGAGCAGTCCTCTCCTTTGTTCTGTGGATTTGCCTGTGGTTCTGCTGCAGCTTGCTTGTTCCAGATTCCAGTTCTCTGCTATTCCCAAACCCATTTTTGCTGGTAAAATAACTGGCAGTTTTATTTTTTAACATGTGAAGGTTTATTTTTGAACTCTCAATTTTATTCCAAAAGAGCTGGAAAATTTAACTGCTTGCTGTGTTTCAGCCACAATCCTAATCACAAATTCATTTACTCCTCATTGTAACTCTATGAGATGGGAACTATTTTTATTCTCCTTTAAGTAGCCAAGATACAGAGTGATTTACCCAAGATCGTACAATTAGTAAGCGGCAGAGCCAGGACATGAACTTAGGCTGGCTGATGCTCTAACTGTGAGAAATTAGAACCTAAAATTCCAATAACGAGTTCATTTTTTAAAAACCAGGTGGAGGTCGAATTGGCTAGTAAGTTTGGAAAAGCACAACAGAGAAGGAGCTTTACTAGCTTGCTTCTGAGCTTTAGAAACAGACCTGCCTTCCTTGATTGAAACGTTTCCAACCCCAACTTCACAATTTGTATGTCGACCCAGTAGTAGGCTGGCTTCTTGGGCTACTGGGGCAGTGCAGATCAGGGTTCCCCCTTTCAGTCCACAGCTAGAGCTTGCTCTGTGCTTACTCCCTAGCCCTCATGCCCCACCCCAGTCTCAGACAGCTCTAGAGTCCAGGACTAGACGGAGTCTGCGCCCAGGGCGGTAGGCTGTCTGGGATGCGGGAACTCTCGCGGGAAGATGAGTTCGTTGCCTCGGTAACAGCGTCGGTCGTGAAAGATGGCCGGGCGCAGTGTCGGTCCCCGGGTCAGTTCAAACACAGACACTCGAGTAGCGACTAGATTTCCAGCGGGCTGAGAACGCGGAACCTCATTTAACTTCGGGTCTGAAAGTCGCTTTCTCTTTTACAGAGACGGAGCGTTCCAAGCACTCCACTCCCGCAGCGTATTCAGCAACCTGCTGCGCCTCGACGTGACCTACTTGCCCGGGAGGAAGAATATAAGTAAGAAGCCGTTCAGCTTTTCCTACTTTCCTTTACCCAAATGAGGCTGCTTGCAAGTACTTTCCTGGTGACTGACGGGGTCTTCGGGGTTACTCACTGTTTACCACTCTCCTTTCATCATCCTATTCGCTAGTCTTTCTTCATCTTTTCTCCGCTTGCATCGTCAGTGTTTGAAGGGGATGGAAATTTACCCCAAGAAAACATGTTCATCAGGAAAATGATAATGCTCTTTGTGAGTAGGATAGCAGGAATTGCCAATATTTCAGTTTCTAGTTTAAGAAAATCCACTTAATTTGGAGTCTCTAGAGTTTAATTATGTAAATTTCTCTTGGTTTCTAAATTGAAAGCGTGTTTCTCATTGCAGTTGGAATTCCCGTTCTCATCCACATTTGGTGGAGTTGGGAGGAGCATTTCCTTTACTTATGTGCGCTCAGTGTAACTATACCTATTCTGACAACACGTGCTTTCATTTTTAGACCATTTCTGCCTTCATGCCCCAGTCTTCACACAGACCCGGAGTAATCATTCAATTTGATCATGTCACTCCCTTGCCTGAAACTTTGCAGTGGTTCCCTGTTGCACTTTAGAAACTGTCTGAAGTTAGGGAGGGACCAAACCCTAAGAGACTTTTAAAAACTGAGAATAAACTGAAGGTTGATGGGGGGTGGGAAGGAGAGGAAAGTGGATGATGGGCATTGAGGAGGGCACCTGTTGGGATGAGCACTGTGTGTTGTATCGAAACCAATTTGACAATAAATTTCATATTAAAAAAAAATAAATAAAAATCAAAAAATCAAAAAAGAAGCTGTCTGATCTGGATCCTGTCTCTAGTTTGATCTGGTGCCCTCTCTTTTTTTGCGTACCAATTTCCAGCCTCACTGGTCTTTAAGCGTCTCAGACTTTTCCCTTGAGGACAATCACACACATGCCTTCCACCTGTAATGCTCCACGTGGTCTTCCTGGACTATGTTAGAGTAAGCTCCCCAGTTACTCTTTTTATAGGGACTTACTAATTTTTCTTTGCAGTTAGCATAATTGTTACAAATTCATTTGTTAGTGTACTTTTTGTCTGTTTCTTCCACTGGGCTGTAAGTTCTATAAAGTAAGAGACCACGTCTTTTATTTGTCATTGTATATACCCTTACAAAAAATTATATTTTACCAACTCATTTTCTTTTTAATTTATCTAATTTAATTTAAAATTGGGAAACATTATAGTACTGCTTCATATAGTTAAACATAGAGTTACCATATGATCTGTACTTAAAATTAAAGCATATTTAAAGTTAAAACTGAAGTGAACTCTCTTGATGAACTAGACATGTACTCGTTAATTTGCCATAACATGTAGGAAGATAATCATTCTCCTCTATTTAATGAAATGGGCCTATTAATTCACTTCAGGAGTTTACCTAAGTAACTCATCTGTTGTCTGTGTACAGGTCTGAATCAGCTGTGCTCAACCCCAAATGGTTATTTTCATTATATTCTAGATAGCACTAAATACCTGCATTGATTAGGTTAATTCATTTACTTATTTAGGGGTATAATTTGCAACTAGCTCTGGTATGTTGTTATGGTCCTGCTTAAAGTCTTCTTAAAGACGTTTATAGGAGCTATTCTATTTTAACAAAAGTCATTTTGTGGAAAAGGTGGCCAGTTGTTGCTTGTTCTGTTACCTGTACTCAGGTGTGCAAATCTGAGGCCTATATGAACAGAGTAGCTTCCTGGCTCTGCCTGAAGCTATAGATCACTTCTGTGCCATGCAGAAGAGTAAAATATCTGGCCATTCTTATGGGCAAGAATAAGAGGTAATAACAGAGTATTTTGCCACATGCGGTCTTGATGTTAAGCATATTTGGGATGTCTCCAATCAGCAGAACACAGAACTTGCCGGGATCCCAATCCAGAATGGTCTATAATCAACTGCTGTTAGATATTTTCAGGAAATAATCACCATCTGAGAGAATATACTAAAGAATGTGCTGATTACTCAAGTCAGTAGGTTTTCCAAGTTTCTTGCCTATATTATAAAACTAGAAATCTAAACAGTAAGATTCTGTGACCTCTGTTATAATGGTCTTGATAACCGGTAGGGGAAGCCCCACTCCTCCCCACATCCCATACCCATAAATACCACTTACATTGGATTTATAGATTAATTGGCAGAGAACTGGCATCTTTATGGTATTGAATCTTTCTTTCTATGAATATTGATACATCTCCATTTATACAGGGGTTGGGGTTTTTTGGTGTCCTTTAATATTTTATATTACTACATTAAACCCTCACATATGTAATCTATTTCTAGGTGCCTTATAGTTTTTGTGGCTGTAATGAATGGCTTTTTAAAATATTTCTAATTGATTAGATGTGTAGGAACATTGCTGATTTTGTATGTTGATCCTAGGCCTGTATTTATATGTAGTCAGTCCTGCTGAACTCTCTTCGTCGTTGTGTAGATAGAGTCCCTTGGATTTTTTATAATCATTGTTATATCAAATGCAGATAAGGATAGTTTTGTGTCTTCACAGTTTCTTATGCATTTTTTAAAATCAATCTGGTTAGCACCTCCACTGCAGTATGGAATAGAAAAAGTGATGATGAGCATCCTTATCTTGGTTATGATTTTAAGGAGCCCACTTAATTTATCACTGTGTATGAAATTTGATAATAGAGTTTTACTAGATTGTTTTATTAGGTTTAAGGACATTGTTTCCTTTTTTTTTTTTTTTTTTTAAATTTTTTTTTTCAACATTTATTTATTTTGGGACAGAGAGACAGAGCATGAACAGGAGGGGCAGAGGAGACACAGAATCGGAAACAGGCTCCAGGCTCTGAGCCATCAGCCAGAGCCGACAGCGGGCTCGAACTCCCGGACATGAGACCGAGATCGTGCCTGAAGTCGGACGCTTAACCGACTGCGCCACCCAGGCGCCCCAGACATTGTTTCCTTTAATTCCTGTTTTGAATGAATGTTAAATCCTATCAAAACTTTTTTCCCTAATTAATTTAGGTGACTAAATGTCCTCCCCTCCATATTTAATGTTTTAACACTTTGAACTACTAAGCAGATTTTTTATTTTCCTTTAAAGACTGCTGGATTTGACTGCTCTAATTTTATGTAGGTTTTTTTGCATCTTCAAACAAATGAAATTGGTCTTATACTTTTTTCTAGTTCTTTTCCTTTCTGATTTTGATACCCATATTATCCTAGCCACATGAAACAACAGAATAGTTTTCCTTTTTTTTTTTTTTTTTTTTTTTTTTTTTTTTTGTTCTTGGAAGCTTTTTGTAACTAGGGATCATCTATCCTTTGATTAAAACTGTGAAATTGAGTCTGATGTATTTTTTGTTGATGGAATTTTTTTGCCTATAATTTCAGTTTCATAAATGAATAATCATTAATTTAGATGTACTAGTGCTTCCAGAATAAATTTTGGTAATTTGTAGTTTTCTAGAAAAGTGTCCACTTCATATATGTTTTAAAAAGGTAAATTTATAATATAAAAACATAAATATTTTTTTTTACTTTAAGAAATAGTTATATGTTTGTTTATTTTTTATTTTAAGAAATAGTTAATTTATTACTATTTTTTTAATTCCAGTATAGTTATTTTTTATTGTTTAGTTTTTTTTATTTTAAGAAACAGTTAATTTATTACTATTTTTTTTAATTCCAGTATAGTTAGCATATAGTGTTATATTTGTTTCAGGTGTACAGTGTGGTGATTCAACACTTCCATACACCACTCTGTGCTGATCACGACAAGTGTGCTTTTTAATGCCCATCCCGAAGTTCACCTATCTCCTCACCCACCTCCCCTCTGGTAACCATCAGTTTGTTCTCTGTGGTTAAGTATTTCTTGGTTCTCTTTCTCTCTCTTTTTTTCCTCCTTTGCTCATTTGTTTTGTTTCTTAAGTTCCACATCAGTGAAATCATAAGTTATTTGTCTTTCTCTGATTTAATTTCACTTAACATAATACTCTCTACCATCATCCATGTTGTTGCAGGTAGCAAGATTTCATTCTTTTTTATGGCTGAATAATGTTCCATTATGTGTATATGTGTCTGATATATGTGTATGTGTGTGTGTGTATTTTAAGTCTTGTGCGTGTTTGTTACCTTATACACACACATCTTATGGAAGCTTTCTAGTGTCATTTATTTTTGCCTTTTCTTTTTTGCAGTCTTGCTGGAAGGTCTATTTTATTGGTCTTTTCAGAGAACTAGCTTTTTTTTTTCTTTAAGTAGGCTCCATGCCCAGCCCAACACAGAACTTGAACTTATGACCCTGAGATCAAGACCTGAGCAGAGATCGAGAGTCAGATGCTTAACTGACTGAGCCATCCAGATGCCCCCAGAGAACTAGCTTTTGATTTTGCTGCTAATCTGTGTTTTCTTATTTGGTCTTTATCCTAGCTCTTCTAATTGTGGTGGATTTTTTTTTTTACTCTTTAGTTTAGTAATTTAGTTCATATTTAGTTTACTAGGGCACCTGGGTGGCTCACTCAGTTGAGCAACTGGCTCCTGACTTCTGCTTAGATCATGATTACAGGGTTGTGAGATGCAGCCCTGTGTTGGGCTCCACACTGAGCATAGAGCCTGCTAAGACTCTCTCTCGCCTTCACCCCTCTCCCCTGCTCATGCTCTCTGTCTCAAATTTAAAAAAAAAAGTTATTTTTAATTTACTTTAGTTTCATTTTTAGTTTTGTTTTTAATTTTTTAATAAATACATTTAATTTTTGTAAATTTTTCTCCACCTACAGCTTATTTGTATTCCAGGGCCTAGTTTGATATTTATTTCTTTTGTGGTTATTTGGTTTAAAATATTTTATGATTTTCATAAGTGATTATTTAGGAGTTTTTTAGTTCCCAGGCATATAGATTGTTTGATTGCTTTATTTTTATAATTTTAAAATTTATGTTTAATTGCACTATGGTCAGAGAATTACATACTAATGATATTTGAAAATGTATTGAAACTTACTTCTGAATAGATGCATGTTCAGTTTTTGTAAATGTTCATGTATTCTCTGATAGAAAGTATATTTGCTATTTGTGAATTAATCTCTTAGCTCAAGCTAATTAATTTGGCTTTCCATAATATCAGTATCCTCACCATTTTTTTTTTCTTGCTAGCTCTATTGATTCCTGTTAGAGGTGTATTGAAATAAGCTATAACTATAATTTAAAAACTTCTTCATAGAATTGTGTTCATTTTTTTTGCTTGGACACTGTATTGTTTGATTTCCTTAAATCTTCCAGATGAAATGAATTATTCCTTTCATTATTCCATTTTTTTATTCTTTTATTTATAAGCTTTTTATATCATTTAGTTTTAAAAACATTGTTTTTATATCCTGCCTGATCATTTCTGCCTCTGATAAGTGAATTTATTTACGTTATTGTGTCATTAATTTGAAATTCTTTGGGTCATTTTATTTTTTGTATTTCCTCTTTACTATCCCTTTGTTCTTTTCTGTCTTCTATTGGATTGAAGTTTTTGTTGTATCTCTATTTTTCTTTTTCTGGTTTGGAAAGACCTTAAAGTGCTTGAACTTGGTTTTCTTCTATCTGTCAAGTTAGATAATACTTGACTTGCTCTTAGTTTTGAACATTGCTGCTCTCCAGGTTATCATTAATGTTATTTTTATGTTCTGAACTAATTTAGATTTATCATCATGTTTTCTAATTTTTGTCCCTGTTGTGACCTTTTTTCTAGGTCCAGCTTCCTCCTTCCTGAAGTGTAGACCCTTCATTACTTTTTCTGAGTCTGCAGTCTTTTTTGAAAATTTTGTTAACACTTACTCTTCTATGGTAGTTTAGCTGGACATAGAATTCTAAATGGTCAGTTTTTTTCCTCTGCAATCCATTGAAGTTAACACTTCATAGTCCATTGGAATCTAGAGATGTTGATAAACTGTCTACTGTCAGCTTTTTAGAACATCATGCTGGTAGACTATTTTTTTTTAAATAACTGCTTTGATAATTTAAAGATTATTTTTGTCTTTGAAGTTCTGTAATTTCACTATGACGTATACAGGTGTGGGCTAATTTCCTTCCTTCCTTCCTTCCTTCCTTCCTTCCTTCCTTCCTTCCTTCCTTTCTTTTTCTCTTTCTTTCTTTCTTTCTTTTCTTTCTTTCTTTCCTTCCTTCCTTCCTTCCTTCCTTCCTTCCTTCCTTCCTTCCT